ATGCACAACATGATCTACAGGGAAAAAAACCCTTTTTGGTCCAGAAAGGTAACCCGTTTATTTTTTGTTGGAGGATCTACAACATTTTTTACCAATCTGGTTCTTAAAGTAGGTGCCTTTCTATAAATAAAACGCGGTTTCTCTGAAATTATGTTACTAAGACAAGGGTCCACTTTTAAAATAGGCCAATGCTTTTTAAAAAAATTTTCAATCATTTTATAGTGTATATTAAAATCCATAATAATTGGGACCTGATCTACGCTATCCCCACTATTAACCACTTCCATTTTCTTCTCTTTATCTTTTAATAACATTTCTCTTTCCATATTTCCAACTACATTCATTTTGTTAACAATATGCTCTCTTGGGTAACCTTTTGAGATAAATCTTTCCCCTATCATCCCTACTTGCTCATTATAATCCTCTATTTTGGTACAATTTCTCCTGAGTCGTATAAACTGACCCTTCGGAATATTCAAATAGCCAGGAAGGGTAATGACAGCTGTCACTCGGAATGTATCCATTCCTATTTATATTTTTAAAGAAAGTTTTACTAACTAAAAGTTCCTTGTTGTATACCTATATTCAGGTCCAGAAAATTAATATGGGAATTACTATACTCCCATGTCAACTTAATATTTTTTTTATCATTATCGTTCAATTTATTACAAAAAGCCAATAAGGAGTTGGCATCCCCCTTCCATATTATGAACACATCATCAATATAGCGTTTAAATACCAGGAGCTCTTTGGGGGGTTGTTGGTAAATAACCTCTTCCTCCCAGAGGGCCATAAACAAATTGGCCACACTGGGGGCAAACCTCGCCCCCATAGCAACCCCTTTCGTTTGTTTATAAAACTTATGTTCATACCAAAAGTAATTGTGCGATAAGCAAAAATCTAAACATTCTACTAAATACTTTCTTTGCTTCCACTTGATGTCACTAAATTCTCGTAGTCCCCCCATTCTACTTACTGACTTAATGGCTTCTTCATGTCCAATAATCGTGTACAGGGATGCAACATCCGCACTAGCAAGATATATATCACCATGTACCTTGTCTTTAATTTCATGAAGGACCTGAATAAGGTGCTTTGTATCTCGTAAATATGACTTTGTTCTTTTTTACAAGAGGAGTTGGAGAAAGATATCGATATATTGGCCAAGTCTGGCCAAAATTGGTTGAATCCCATTCACGATTTGGTCTGCCCGGCGGACAGACTGGATCCTTATGTAGTTTTGGAATGGTATAGAAATTACCGGAATCCTACATGATTCAGGGATCAAGAACTTAGACTCCTTTTTATCAAGTATTTTCTTATCTGTACCTTTCTTGATCAATTTTCCCAGCTCTTTCTTATATATAAAAGGTAGGGTCTTTAGAAAGCACTTGGTACGTGGTAGAATCTTTAAGTTGCCCTTCTAGCTCTGTAAGATAATACTCCTTAGTCATCACCACGATACCCCCCCCCCCCCCCCCCCCCCCCCCTTATCCGCCGGGTCTAATTACTAGATTATCCCTTTTGGAAAGACTTTTAATTCCTATATTCATACCCATATTGTAACTAACTTTAGGGATAGTTAATTTTTCTTCTAGATCCAAAGTAACCATTTTTTTAAAAGTATCTATCTGGCTGTTGTTAGAAACTTGTGGATTAAACAACGATTTATTTCTAAGATTAGAACGTGCAAACTCATCATTAGGTTTCTCGACACATTGTTGGGTTTTGGGTAAACCCAAAAAATACTTTTTGATGTTCAATCTCCTAATAAATTTCTGGATGTCTACATACACGTCGAATTTTTGATGCTGGTTTGGGAGGGGCATATTTAAGACCTTTGTCGCTAAAACCAGCAATTCCTCTTTAGTAAGAGGTACCCCACTCAAATTGAAAACCCCCTCTCCTAATTTTCTCTTTTTCCTTTTGCTTCTTCCTCCCGGCTCTACAGTCTCTCCTCTTGGGGGGCTTCTTCTTCTCTCCATTTCCAAACTCCTCTCCCTCCACCTTCTCTCTAAAAAATCCTGCTCAGAGTACTCATAGTTTAATGGTTCATATTTATTATATACGGGCAGGGGACTCCTTCCTCTATTAGGCGGGGTAAGGATGATTCCCTCTTTTCTTGATAATAATCCCTAGGTGTTCTATTGCCTTGTGTCCTATAGTCATCCCTATAGGCAAAATCTGGTCTATTGTAATAATCTTCCCTAGGATAATAATTGGGTCCATTCCTTTGATGTTGATTGGGCCTATATGGGTAGGGTTTCCATGCCTTCCCTTTACCACCCCCCTTTGATTTCTTATAAGGTGGTCCTCTATTTTGGTGGTCTCCAACCATTTTTGGGTGTGGGATGCCTAGGTGTATAATTATTAAAATTCCTATTAATACCCTCATAATTTGTCTTAGACTTTTTTGGTGTTTCCATTTTCACTTTGACAGGAGTAGTGTTAACCGATACATTCTCAATATCATTAACCGAAGATTGCCATTTGAACACTTGATCTTTTTTAAAATCATGATAATCACGCTGATATTTTTTCCCTTTTCAGGTTACCCTGATGAAGCCACGTGATATTCGTGACGCAACGCGTTGGTACGTCCATCGTCATTTCCGAATGCGGTGGTGACGTCATTTCCGGCGCCCGCGCCATATTGGGACTCCATGAAGCTACATGTCATGAGGACAACTGAAGATGTTTGCGGTTACCTGCTAACATGTGAGTGGATATTTTAATTTTCATTTAATAAATTTGACAATATTGCACATGGAGCCTGTTTCGCTTTGTGTCTCTGAGTGGACCCTAGAGGTGTTGCCAGAGCGGTGGAGTGCATGAAGAGGTCTGGCTAAAGCTACTGTCATTTCGGTCGTATTGAAGGGATCTGCAGGAGATTGTCTGAATACTATTAGAACGCTGGTTGGCCCTTGAGGTCATTGCAAGGAGGTGAGGGGGCACTCAGACCATTTTGGGATTTTTTGGCACGTATGACACATTCACGTGTATGAAGAGTTTCTCACTTGTGTGCTTAAAGTGGACTGATTCATCACCCCTTAGTCACGAATTAAGTGCGTGTCACCTTGGCACCTTGACACCAGTGATTGAGATATGTCATTCTATGCTATATATGTTTATTAAGGGTGTTTATTCACCCATGCAGTTGTGATTATTTTAATTTATTTGCATGCATTTTCTGAGTATATTTAGTGCTGGCTGTATATAATTAGTAGCGCTGCACCATTTACATTATAATTTTGGTTTATGGTATTCATTGGTACACAGTAGGTGCTAGCAGCTTAATATCTGTGAGGGCCATCTAAGCGCAGGGGCTTTTTTTCACTGTAAGGGAGTATTATTTGCACTTAATTGTCTATCTTCAAAGTCCCCCCCCCAGTAATTTCCCTGATCAGGCGCCTTGTTTTCAAATGTATTCATCTTAACCCCTTCACGCCTGAAGGTAAAACAGATCTAAATGCCTAAGCACAATTTTTGCACCGTTGACATGTGATAGTAAAACCGTCCGTATCATCACAACCACTTCGTACATCCAGGTGGATTATACCTCGTTTTTTTCAGGACAAATTGGGCTTTTAATTTGGTGGTAAATGGTAATTATTTTTATTACTATACAGGATTTATATGGCGCCAACAGTTTGCTCAGCACTTTACAATATAACGGGAGACAATACAGCAACAATACAGTTTCAATACAAGAGGGATAGGAGGGCCCCTGATCCTGGGAGCTTACAAACTAGGAGATGGATATCTCCTGATTTTTTTTTTTTATTATCTAGAGAAAACGGGCCCAAAATAGCAAAAAAAAAAAAAGTTCCTCAGAGACCCCTTATGAGGAAGTCAGGAAGTGACGAAACGCATCAAGGGATGCGGCTCTGGATGTTACACGAGAAACCAGAAGAGGCGGAGCGGCCATCTTTAGTTGAGGTTTACCACATTTGGTGCTCCAGAAGCTGCTTGAGGTGGAGTTATGGAATAAATATAGTTTTTTATAGGTAAACACAACTATTAAAGTCTGGATCTTTGTATTTGAAACATATTACACTATATGGGCAGCACAGTGGCTAAATGGTTAGCACTTTCACCTGGCAGTACTCGGGTCGTCGGTTCGAATCCCAACCACGGCACCACCTGCCTGGAGTTTGCATGTTCTCCCTGTGCCTGCGTGGGTTTCCTCTGGGTACTCCGGTCCGGTTCCTCCTCCCACACTCCAAAGACATGCTGGTAGGTTAAATTGGCTCCTGTCTATATTGGCTCTAGTATCTGTATGTATGAATGTGAGTTAGGGACCTTAGATTGTATGCTCCTCGGGGGCGGGGAACTGATGTGAATGTATAACAATGAATATATATATGTAAAGCGCTGCATAAATTGACGGCGCTATATAAGTACCTGAAATAAATAAATAAATATATGGTTGTTATTTCTTTCTAGGAGTAACATGGAGTATAAGAAGGCAGGAGTATTTGAATGAACACTTTGGGATCTGAAGGCATTCCTGTGGATATTGATGTGAGGTTCCACTGATCGCTATTGATTTCTTTCTGGATTTTTGAAGGCTGGTTTATTATTTAACCTCCCTAGCGGTCTGATTATGTCAGTATTTCTGTGCTCAAAGCGGTACATTTTTAATCATAAATTATAATTTAATAAATAATCATAAAAAATAATAATATAATAATAAATTTAATTCAATAATATAATCAAACCAAAAACACTGAAATGTGAAATAGAGCGCCAAGTTCGCACATCGCTGAGCTCAGTCGCCAGAATCGCTTTCAGTGTCTGATGAGGAATTTCCCCCACCAATCATTATCACTCAATTCTGCAAGTGGTTCTGATTTACTATCGCTGTTCTCTAGCCGGTCTAAAACCGCGTCTGACCTAAAGGGAACGCTTTTTGGACGCCATGGACGTTTTCTCAGTTTCCAGGCAGAAAGAAACAGTAAAAATGCAGGCAGGGCGCCGGACAAAGCACTCGGGACAAAATGTATGTGAATGGTTTGATACAGGAATGTTTATACGATGTGATTTTTAGTGTATTTAGTGAATGTCACTTTTTGACATTTTTAAATTTCCGGCCGGTTCCGTCCCCCATACATCCCGACGTCGCAGGGAACGGAACCTGGAAGACGGATGCCGGCATCGGCTGGAGGACATTACAGGGGACACTGCAGGGGGGACATCGCGGGTTTCTCCGTCGAGCGCAGAAGGACAAGGTAAGTAAAGAAGAGATCCCGGAGCAACGCTGCAGTGTATTCCCAACTGTAGCTCGGGGGGGTTATCGCTTGTGGTGCTGAAACTTTACCCCGAGCTACACTCAGGAATACCTCCAGGGGGGGTTGATTAGGGTAAGGTTATGTTATTCAGCCACTTTGATGTGTTCACAGCAGGGGCGGACTGACAACGCATGGGGCCCCCCGGGCCCGGCAATAGGAAATCATGGGGCCCCTGTGTCCATGCCCACACTCAAAAACACACCCCAAAAAAGCCTATGAAAGGTACCAGGGGCATCTCATGGGGCCCCCTACTGCCCCGGGCCCTCGGGCAGTGCCAGAGTGGCTAAAATGGTCAGTCCGCCCTGGTTCACAGAGTGTTCACAGAGGAGTGTATATAAAAAAGTTCACACAGAGTGTTTCACTATCACAAGTGTTTTCACGTTTTTTGTGTTTTTTTTTTGCACAAAAATAATTTGAAATTTCTGGCTTTTGATTTAAATTAATTTATGAATTTATTATTGTTCATTATTTATTGAGGATAATACGCTATTTCGTTTTTCTTTGTTTGGAGGTACACGGCAATTATTGGAATCACACAGTGAATTTATATCAGAAATTGGAAGAAAAATTCTTTGGACTTTGTTTTTTTGAGGATTTTGTGTTGTTTTTTTTTTTCATTTCACAGACACTGGAAAAGGTTTATATAATTATTTTGGACTTTCAAGGGTGAAAGTGGGACTTTTTAAGTGTCATTTACACAGGGAGTTTATTTTGTTTTGTAATATTTTAGTGTGTATAATTATAGGGATACCGATTTAATATTCACAGAAAGTACACACTATAGAGGGATGTGCTTTGTTCATATTTCATGTCTGAGGTTTACAACCACTTTAACCACTTCAAGTCCAGACACTTTCCCCCCCTTCCAGTTCCGGACGCTTTCCCCCCCCCCCCTTCCAGTCCGGACGCTTTCCCCCCTTCGGTTTCCGGTCCGGACGCTTTCCCCCCCTTCCCTTCCGGTCCGGACACTTTCCCCCCCTTCCGGTATCCGGACACTTTCCCCCCTTCCGGTCCGGACACTTTCCCCCCTTCCGGTCTGCCGGACACTTTCCCCCCCTTTCCGTCCCCGGACACTTTCCCCCCCCCCGTCCGGACACTTCCCCCCCTTCCGTCCGGACACTTTCCCCCCCTTCCGGTCCGGACACTTTCCCCCCCTTTCCGGTCCGGACACTTTTCCCCCCTTTCCGGTCCGGACACTTTCCCACCCTTCCAGTCCGGACACTTTCCCCCCCTTCCAGTCCGGACACTTTCCCCCCCTTCCAGTCCGACACTTTCCCCCCTTCCAGTCCGGACACTTTTCCCCCCCCCAGTCCGGACACTTTCCCCCCCTTCCAGTCCGGACACTTTTCCCCCCCTTCCAGTCCGGACAATTTTTCCCCCCCTTCCAGTCCGGACACTTTCACCCCCCTTCCCTGCCGGACACACTTTCCCCCCTTTCCGTGTCCGGACACTTTCCCCCCTTCCGGTCCGGACATACTTTCCCCCCCTTCCGGTCTCGGACACTTTTCCCCCCCTTCCGGGTCCGGACACTTTCCCCCCCTTCCGGTCCGGACACTTTCCCCCCTTCCAGTCCGGACACTTTCCCCCCCTTCCAGTCCGGACACTTTCCCCCCCTTCCAGTCCGGACACTTTCCCCCCTTCCAGTCCGGACACTTTCCCCCCCCTCCAGTCCGGACACTTTCCCCCCCCTTCCAGTCCGGACACTTTTCCCCCCCCTTCCAGTTCCGGACTCACTTTCCCCCCTCCCTCCAGTCCCCCCACCCCCTTCCAGTCCGGACACTTTCACCCCCTTCCTGTCCAGACACTTTCCCCCCTTCCAGTGCAGGCCAAATTTTCACAGCTTTCAGTGCTATCACACTTTGAATGACAATTGCGCAGTCATGCAACACTGTACCCATATGAATTTTTTAGAATTTTTTTGAGAAAGATAAAACTTTATTTTGGTGGTATTTATTCACCGCTGGGAATTTTTTTTTTATATGTAAATGAAAAAGTCCAAATGTTTTGCAAAAAAGTGTTTTTCTTATAAAACATTTTTGCAAATAAATAATATTTCATCATAAATCTTGACCAAGATTTATTCTGTTATCTTTTTAGTAAAAAAGAAAATAAACCCAAATTAGTGTTATAAACCAAAAATTATAAATTTTTTAAACTTTTTTTTTTGTACATTTTTTATTTTTATTTTATATTATTTAGGTTTTTTTTTTACATATTGTCACCCTACCATGGTGACACTGTAACATACTTGTGGGGAGTGATGAAAGGATTTTTTTTTTTACACTGATTGCTTTTACACCCATAAAGGCTGTAAAAGCAATCATTTATCCTTTCTCTCTGGCTGCATTCTTGCAGTCATTGAGAAATACTGTGAGAGCTGTGATTGATCACAGCTTTGTCACATGTACAAAGGCTGTTGTGAATGGCCCTGTACCATGTGATCTGTTGAGATCATTCACAGATTTCACCACGTAGTAAGCAATGATGTCAGAAGTGACATCTTGCTTACTACTCTGCAATGTGATCATATGATTGGCCAGTGGAACAATGATCGTTGTTCCACTGTGTCCAGAGGACACAGCGGGGCACCGGATCTTGCGGTGCTGCGGCACGCTCCCAGTGACGCGCGGCACAAGCAGGGGGCGGGGAGGCCATTTATAAACGGCCACTGACCCTTTACTGCCACCATGCCCGGTCCCGTTTATATACAACAGCCGGAAGGGAGGTGGTTAAATTTAACTTGCGATCCCGTCCTTACCAACCAGCTCTCACACCTCTACCAGATCAGTCTTTACATTTCTGCTGCTGGGCCTGCTTATTTAGCAATATTTTTTTTTAGAATAAACAACACTTTCTTTTAGGGAAATTGTCTTGTTAGTAAAAATGAGATTTTATTTTTTTTATGCAATCCATAGACAAAAATGTAGAAAAACACATTTTTTTTCTATATTTATCAGTTTCTTTTTAAATGTTGTTAAAAATATAAATCAGCTGCCATTATGACAGATACGGAATTGGAAGTGAAGTTCCAAATGTGGATCGGCAGTGGAGGCAGCAAAAGGACCAGGGCGTGCTCCACAGGCATGAAGTTTTTTTGGCCATATTCGTCAATAGCTAAGTCGAGAGTGTCAACAAATGGTAATAAATTCAGCCAATAAAAACAAGAGAATTTTTTTCACTGTCCACCTTTACAGCCTATGATATCTCCAGGAATCCACCAAGGAATTTTGTAGCGCACACGGAGATCCCCAATCAGGTTTTCTCTGTAAGTATTACAGAATTTCATCTAATACACACTCGAACAAAAATAATGTTTTGCTCAACAAAAAAAATGAACGCAACAGTTTGCATCAAGCTTTTAAACGTTATGACAATGTCTGGTGAAATTTAAGTTGAAGCAACAAACTACATTCATTGAGGTAATTAGCTTTTCTGATAGAAATTAATGCATTTTTATTTACCGCCAACTTAATTAAACTGGCATTATAAACATGTTTTTTTAAGTTGAGTACTTAAACATATTATTAGTTAATTCAAATAGTTTTGTCCCAGTTTTTATAAGAAACCTTCACAGTCACGCTCTCTACTTAATTGCTACATTATGAGCAAGTTTTTTTAAAGTTAAAAAAGCAGTTAAAAAATCAAGTTGATCCAAATTGATTTTCTGTAGTAGTTTTTAGCTTGTTTTTTTTTATACTAGCTTTCAAAAATGAATTAATCAGTTTAGGCTTTCACTAGAATGTGTTGCACAGAAACCCCGCAATCTGGTGGTGCATTTTCGCCGCACTCCCGCATTCAAATCGCACAATCCTTGCGTCTGCAAGTGGATGTCAGTGTTGCAAAACACAGTGCATTTAGCCGGGCACCAGATTGCATGGTACAAAACAAACATGCAATCTGTTTGCACTGTGCGTTCAAAAATTGGTTGCATGCATGTCTTTGGTTGATGCGATGTGGTGTGATTTGAGCTCATTCAAAAACTGAAATGGGCTCAAATTGCCATTACACTGGACCACATGTGTGAATTGCACAGGATGTGTTGCAGTTCCTTGTGATTCACATGCACTTCATTGTGTGAACCCATAGGCCCAACAATCAATTGCTTAAAACAACACTGACATTTTTTGACACCAAAATCAAAATCCTTAAACAGTTGTACTGATGAATGAGTAAGCACTTTGCATTAGATTTTTTTTTACATATTGTCTGTCTGGCTGCAGAAACTGTTTCTCTACAAGACCTTTGCTATATTGTGCAACAAATTTTGTGGCAAATATAGTGAAGCTATTGGAGGATATTGAAAGTTGATATTTTGTGAGCTTTCTTACAATTTGCTATATTCTTTCCGCATTACCCTGCGACAACCATTTTGTGAACTGAATAAAAGTGAAAAATGTCATCTGAGTATGACTGTGCTATGGAACCACATACGTTCTTCAGAGAATACTGTACTTGAGACCCATTACTTTAGCACTGGCTTTCAGTCCATCAAGTTCAAGGAACAGTTTTTGAAACAACTGAGACTTGATTTGTGTTCAGTGAATGGGGGGGGGGGGAGACTTGCAATGCAGCTCTCAATGTAGAGCAACATTAAGTTACCAAGTCAATTTATTAAGGTACCTTAACTTAAATTTCATTGTACAACAATGAATGCAGAAATGTAACTGTACATGACACACAATATTAAGTTGATGTAATTTCCAACATTATCATTTCAACACAACTCATGAAAGTAGGTTTTTAAATGAAAAAGTTTATTTAAACCAATAAATTAGGATTTTTTATCTTGGAAATACACATTTAATTAAGTGGTGGTAACAGGTCGCTTGAGTTATTTTTTAGAGTGCAACGTTTCTTGAATCTTCTCCATAAACTGGGTTTATCACCTGCAAATTAACAAATGTGTTACTTGTTAAATTATCTTGTATACAAACACATTATACAGACAGTCATGGCTGAAAATCTTGTAACCATGTAAGCATTTCTGTATATCTGTCAGATAATGTACCACTTCACCCAGAAAATTGCTGCAATGACAAATGTTTCAGCATTTTCATGTTTATTTCTTTGGTTTGTATTGGTATGACACAAAAAAGTGG